CCACACCCACACCCACACCCTTACTCACACCCACACCCACACCCACAATTAAATATTCAAAATTTAGATCCCGGTGTGGATATCGGTGTGGGTGTGGCTTTAAATGTGAGCGGGACTGCGTGGTTACCGATGGAGCTAAGTAATGAATCATACTCACACCAAAACCTCCACCCATAGCCACACCCACACTCACACCCAGTGGAACGTATAAAACTGCGTTGCAATTGTGCACAAGTGCGCAACAATGAATGAATGAAAAATGTGTCACATGGGTTTATTCTTTTCTTAGTAGTTTATTGTATTAGTTAGTGTTATCAAAGATTAAAATCATTATCTGTCTTATTATGAATTGCCGCTACATACCAATTCTTTCTCTCTGTAGACGTTCACGTTCTGTCACACTGTCGGTTATTAGATCAATTTCTCGAAGTGGTATAAATCGTGTCTTTTTAACAACTTTGTAAATAATGAACATTATCACAAATATCGGTAATATGACATAACCCGATAGAAACGTAGACAAGTTGAATGTATGTTTCGTACATGTAGAATTTCCTTGATCGAATAGATTTTGATCCAGTATATGTCTATCAAATCTCGAATAGTTTTGTTCTGGGGTAGTACAGTTGACCGTTACTGTGGCGAATGCAGAATATCCTTGTCCAAAGACACACATAAGAATAAGTAAAGATGCCAAGATTGGTCCCACTGGAAAGAATAGCGCTTTATAAACAAGATCGCTCAATGAATAACCTTGTAGAATATATGCTCGACGAAATCGGTAATGTGCTACTGCAATTCCAAACCAAGCAATAAAACCCATCACGCTAGTCATATTTACAAGCCATATATAAATCACCTTATTTCCAACGAATGAGAGACCAAACAGAGAGCTTGCAAGAACAGTTGTTATAACCAAACACCAAATAGGAATTCCACCTTTAGTTAGATGACGAAAGACACGAGGTGCTTTGCCTTCCATAGCCAATGTCCAGAAAATACGTGTACATAAGTAAAGACCAGAATTACCAGCCGATAATATTGTTGTTAGAATGACAGCATTCATAATATGTTCTGCTCCGGGAATGCCAGATCTTGCAAATACCAAGGTGAAAGGTGACACAGCAACATTTTCAACACCACCTATTTTAGCGAGATTTGGATCGTTATATGGAATAACTAGACCCATGATAAAGATGGCACCGACAAAGAACAAAATAATACGCCATATGGTTCCATTCATCGCACGAGGCACATCCCTCTTTGGATTAGAACTTTCACCAGCAGCGATGCCTACAGCTTCAGTTCCCTAAATAATCATCAAGAAAAATTTTATAAATATAACCCGCCTTTCAAATTTGTATACGTGTCCCTAATCGCACAATATGGTACATAAACGGCCGCATACGGTTAAATTACGATGATTTTTTACCTGAAAACGACGACCGTATAGGATGAGTCGTATTATGGTTCATTATCATACTCAATTGTGCCGTACATGACAATCTTTTTTATAGCGGAGCGTAAACTATCGTATATCGATCATCGTTTATCCGTTGTATCTTCGTTATATTGTTGAAGTGTCTCAAGGAAGGAGGAATTGTGACTTCCTACTCTTTCGATTCAATAGAATCATTAGATAGGGAATATTTTTTTATGTATATGCTCCAATTTTATGTATCCTGTATTTGATCCAATTCGGACAAGAAGTACAAGACAAATATAATTCATTTTATACGAGAAGATAGAGAAAAAAAGTTCTCTATCTGGCACAGCTCAAATGAAATTCATAAAATGAAGCTTACTGTATAATTTAATCCCAAATAAGTTCTTGGAGACGGTCATGTTTTGTGATCCAACGGTTTTGAGCAGTGTGATTATGCATCAAGTGAAAAATTGAAACATATGCTCTATACATAGATCGATACAGAACTTCAAGCTCTACTATTTTTCTATCAACTATATCTGCTAATTAGTTTTTTTTTGACGGCAATAGACGCCAGCTTTTGTTGTCGTCAAAGAAGAGTGCATTCTAGTACTACGAACATTCATCAATTTTTGACTTTTATATCTCAAATGAAGAGTCTATCTGATCCATACTCAAACCCAAAATTTGAGATGGTTTGGTTTAGGCTGTTCGAAATGCAGGCTAAAACATAGATTTAAGACCTATTTTAGTCACAGAAAACACAGACACCATCCGGTGTGTTCAGTATTTTGTCGATATCTTAGAAAGAATTTGAGTATTTGGATTGGAGGATGCTTCAGGTAGTAGAGTCCTTCCTAGGCTATGAAATTATTCTATTTGATCTACTCACATATCTTGCATAGTAATGTCATAACTCAAATACCTTCCAAAACAGGCACAACATGATCATTGAGCTTATGAATACTCTGACGTTTCTGGACATAGAGTGTAAGATCAGAGAATGATCTTGTGGCACAAGGAGAACTCTACTATATAAAATGTCCCCCCCAATTCAAACGGTCAACCTGTTTCAGAGGTAGCGGTAAAATACTGAACGAACAGAATGGACCAATATGGGTAGTTTCCGAGTGTAGCCTCCCTTGAGGACAACAGAAAACAGTATATATCACGTTCAAAAAAAGTACAATTAGCAGATATGGTCGATAGAAAAATGATAGAGCTTGAAATTCTGTATCGATCTATGTATCGAACATATGTTTAAATTTTACTCGAATCATGTTCATACAACTCAAAGTCATTCGGTAACCAAAAATGCCCATCTCCAATAGCTTATTCAGGATCAAATTACACAGTAGCTGATAAAGAGATAAAACAAGTGTTCTGTATTGAATGAGCCTATTTGATCATAAAAGTTGTCGATCATGACCCCCTCCTTAAATTCATAATTAACTACTATGGTATGGATGTGAGATGTGAGAGCATTATATATTCACGTCGCATTACACACACCACATCCTACACCCCAAAGATGAACAGTTGTGAGAGTTTAAAAAGTTGCACTTGAAATTGACGTGAGCTCTGATGCACTTCAGAAAAACTGCCGGGTAGTTCAAGTCATCGAAAAGAGACTAAAGATGATGACACAAGAGAGATAAGAAATAATTGTAAATTTGAAGAGAAAATATACACATTAAAATAATAATTAAATCTAGTTATCGAATTGTATGCTATTATAAAAAATTATCCTTACTTGAAAAGCAAAACCTGATATGATTGACGTGGTTATTACACCACGCACTCCATCGACAAATGGTGCTCCATCTAATTTCCAATTTTCAAAGCCATATTTTTTTTTCGGTTTACCCACGGCACCAACATCCACTAGAAGACCAACTAGTAAGAAGATGAGCACAGTAATTACTTTGATCATTGCAAACCAATATTCCCCTTCCCCGTAACCTTTGACTGTAAAAGCATTTAGTAAAAACATAATCGCCATTCCTAATATTGACCATACTATACTGGGAAAATTCGGTAACCAATATTGGACGATAATACCGGCGGCCACCAATTCTCCTGCAATAGTTGTCACCCACGAAAAGTAATAGTTGTAGGCTAATGCAAAGCCGAATGCTTCATCCACAAAACGACTACCAAATGTATTGAAAGAACCACTAATGGGAAATTGAGTCGCAAGCTCAGCTAGAACAAATGTTAATACATTGAGAATTTTCGATTGTATTACTATCGTTCATCGGATACCGATTTACTCGTTCCTAGACTGAAAGACGATGAAATGTAATGTGACTAGAGATCCAGGCAGAACTAAGAAAGATCTCTGATGAAAATCAAAAGATGTAGCACAATAGAAAAACCAAATTTTTGTGAACTTCAGGATTCCAAATCGTTTCGAAACGAAAAAATTTGAAATCAATAAATTAAAGAACCAAACGTAGCGATTACTTGCAGAGGACAAGGAAGACTAAAACCGTTGTTGAAAGTTCAGTTTCAGGCGCATGTAAAATTTAAGCAATTCATACACTATCTGTTTTGCGTCTCTATAACTATAATCCAATAAACATACATCTGAGCCATTTAAACCATGCTATTCAGTCATTTGAATCAGGAAGTCTCTAAAGCAACAAGTAACGTTCATCAAATGCCGACTCGTTTAGCTTTAGACTGAGGGACTGATGGTTATTTGTAAAATACAAACTAGAAAATTGCTTGGGTAGTTCATTATTCGCGATTGCTTACAATCTTTGGCTAATTAAAAAAGCTGAAGGAATTTGAATTACTGTGAGTCAAAGAATGGACGATGAGACATGGTATCTTTGCGATGAAAGTGAACAATCAACATAGATAGTTTACTCAGAGAAAGTGTGAGGAATAATAATTTACATCGACCTTCAACAGGGCAGAAAATTCACACGGGCATTCTACCACAGAATCGCATACAAGTAAGCGAAATAGAAACATTGCAAGGCAGCATCCAAGTTTCAAAAATAAATCAGAACAGAAAATGAACGTAGCAACGAAATTTTGAAATACAGAGATGTCTTGAAATTTCAAAGTCAGTTGCTTGTTTCTTGCTTTGGTATGTGGCAATGAATATTTGATGAGTTGAATCATACTTCAGAGAGATATAGAAATGGTTGCTAAGATGAAAAGAAATGAATTGTTTGTGTTGCATCTTCTAGTCAATCTTGCAGAAAAACAAAGATGTGAAATAAGACTCAGCGTGATTTTAAAAATATGTTTCAGGCAGACAGAATTACCGTTTCTAGATCATATATTTCAGTCTAGGGAATAAAATGAACGGAATTTTCAGTGATCCTGAGTCAGAAGGTGAATCACATGCAGAAATTGAAGATAGATCCGAATCTGAAGAATATAGTAATTATGTTATGAAGGACTCCATATAAGTTCCCAATGATAAAAATACTTCTCCAAATCCTACTTCAAGTGTTGACATTATTGTTAATAAATATATTATTTCAAAGCTTCGAACAATTCCGGTGTCTTGTTTTTTTTTTCAAAGTGGCCCCGTCCTTCTCAAGTGATGACTTATTGAGATTTGATTCTAATATAATTCAAAGTAGATTAGTTTCGAAATCATTGATAAGACTAAGTCGATCTTTGTTCAGGAGTTATACTCAAATTGATCGTTTTGAAGATGATGAAATGATTCCGACAGAAAATAGAAAAAGGTTTTGAAGAAATATTCAAACTCGATTGAAATAGTTTTTCGTCCAGTAACATCCAGATATAATTATTATATTAGACATGCTCGATAGATTTCCATATAAAATATTCAAAATAAGACTAAAACATTGAACTGACAAGTATATTTGTAACATGAACGATAGTCTAATTATCACTGCATAACAATTACAAAATCAAAATTTCAATTTGAGATTTGTTTATGTTGAATAATATGTTTTTTCGATCTAAACCGAGCTTCAAAATATTTCTCTTTTAGGCATGCACCGAGAATGAAAATTCAGTTTTTCTCTTTTTTTGTAGAAATAACATGAAGCGTCGAAAGAAGAACTTCGTATTTTTGTTTTTTGGAGCGTGTAGGATTGCAGAGCAAACAATTTTCTACAAGATAAAACGTCACCTGAGGTTCGTGCAATGGACAGTTTAACTTTTATGACAGTTTTACGGAGAGCCCTGATCGAGAACGAACCCGAAAATCCAAGGTTTGATCTTGATCAAGACTCTCTGTAAAACCGCAATAAAAAACGGAATCGTAAGTGGTACAAACCTCGTCGGAACATTATTTTGTAGAAAACTATTTGCTCTACAACTCCGAAACTTTGACAATATTCTGCCGCATTGCATATTTTAAGTGTATCCTTCCTACGGAAATACAAAAAAAATCGGGAAATTCTCAGTGCATGCCTATCCTCTTTTAGAATTTTTAAATATAAAATATTGGTTTATGTAAATGAATGTTACTCGATGTATCATTACATTTTGCTTCATTTAGTCAATCACAATTAGTTTAGTTTCTTGGAAGTTATATATGTAATTGCTTATTTTCTCAACGGTGATCTGTATAGCAGGAAAATTTTTTCAAAATCATTGAATATTTTCCTCAATTGAATCAAAAAAAGAAATTTTTGACTGAGAAACATGAATGAATAGAAGTTCTGTATAAGAATTCTTGCCCAGGGAGCTAAAAAATCAACAAAATGCCATTAAAATAATGAAACGGACAAAAAAATTGATCTATTTCAAAATCATCGATTAAAATAGACATTTTCATTGATTTCATTGAATGGTTTTGATAAAAACTGAAATTTACTGCATTTGCTTAATTAAAATAGCGCTTTTCATCAATGATTTTGAAAAACATCAATTCTTTTGTCCGTTTCATCATCAAAAATGCCATCTTTTTCGTGTTTTTGATATAAAATTCACGAAAGTCATGAAATTTTTTTGATTTTTTGACTTCATGGGTGTTGTGATATTAGTTGTAAATAGGGAATAGACTAATTTGTTTTGATCTTTGAAAGACATAAAATGTTGTGTTAAAAAAGAGCAAAACTAGTTTGCTAAATTTACCTAGACTTGTCATGACAAAATAGACCATAATTGAAATAATTCCATAGGAAACGAGAGAACCACCAGGACCTGCTGATGCTAAAGCTTGACCAGAAGCCAAAAATAAGCCAGTTCCAATAGTTCCACCTAATGCAATCATAATCATATGTCGTTCCTTTAAATTTCTATGTAAACCCTTTTCGTCTGGTGATACTAAAATTATATTATCACCATAACTATTTTCATAAGGATTATTTGATGCTCCATTTGCGAATTTTTTCGGAAAAATATTTCTGAACGCTCTCGTAATAATGTTTGTCTAAAACAAAACAAAGAAAAATTGACTAATTCGCGAAAAATTCATTTGTACTTAAACGTACATGATGTCCATTATTATTAAATTGACCATTATTTATAGTTAATGAATCTTCATTTGTCGACGTTGATGAGATGCAACTAATCTAGAATGCAAATGGTTTCATTTTCGAAAAAATCACTTATAATTTCTTATACCGGTATTCCATCTCCGCCCAAACTTTTGTTAACATTTGTCTTCATTATGTTTATCTAAAAAATAAAATAATGAATTTTATTCTTGGCATTAATATATGGAACAAATGAGTTTCATCATTTTTTATAATAACATTTTATCTTCGAAAATATGCTTTGTAGTTGTTGTTGTTATTGTTGCTTCTATGCATAATTAAAAGATCTCTACCTTTTCTGTTTCTATTCTTATCAGATAGCAAAATGATGCATCTTGTTTTTTTTTTACTTTTTCTCAATATACCTACTGAAGAGGACAGATAGAATATATGTTGCCTTTTTCTTTATCTTTTCAGAAAAAATAATGGCAATGTAGGACACTAACAGACAAGTACTGTAACCAGTGAATATTTGTTATCATCATGACAAAGATGAGATCACGAAATGAGTACGTGTTCTGTCTTTTTTTTCATCTGTACTCTTTCCTATTTAAAATGACTTGACCTGGGCAATATTCAAAGTGCAAATTCTTCTAGCATTTACTGATAATAAGTTTACATTTAAAATTGTTCGAGATATATTTCGATTATTTTCTGTTAACTCTTTGTAGCAGTTACACAAAAGAAAATTCGTCTAATAATGATGGTTATTTGCAAACTGATTCTACAAATAAAATAATAATTATAAAAATAAACATGGTCGATTTATATCTAGTCACAAAATCGACAAGAATAAATTTAATAATGAAATCTAACATCTATTACAGCTCCTCTTTATGAATAAAAATGATCTTATTCAAATATACAGCCCTAAAAAAAATTTCTGAGACACTCGAAAACAATTTTTCAATACTTTATGTTTAAGCTGGCTCGGACTTTAAGAATATGTTTGGTATTGTTATTGGTGAAGCTTTCATATTTTATTGAGCAAACGAAATATTGTCATTTGATACTAGCAAAATATTGTCAAGCATAAAATCTCTAGCGGCAAAAATTTCTAGGACAATTTTTGTTCTGTTCATCAATTGGCTTTTTTTCGATTGCAAATATCATCATTGGAAAGAACATAAAAACTAAGTATAATATGTTTTCATTTTCGAGATCATAGAAAGTAGATGCGTTGGGTGTGGGTATGGGTGGGTGTGATTAAACAGGGAGATGATGCTCACCCACACTCTCATTTCTCAATAATATAAATTATCTAGAAAACAATTTCTTTATATTTAAGAAAATCGAAAGATTCTTCATAAGGAATTAATTCATGTGAAAAAATTATCAATAACAACGACTGCTTCAATTAAAATACATCATTCATAACTTGTCGTTGGTAAAAGAAAATGATCTATGATTTATTTCTGAAATTTCTTAGAAAAAAATACATTAGAGTCTTTCTTGAAACCGGTCGTCCGTATATTAGTTTTGGTTTTGTCGATGATTTTGTTATGCTTGTTGCGATAACTTGAGATGAGTTTTTCATTTAGTTTACAAATATTTAGTCATATTCAGGGCGAAATTATTGAAACATTTGTCGATGCTGCTTTTTGTCCTTCTACAATGGCAAGTAACCAAATATAGGAATCGAAGAAGAAAAAAATTCCACACACTTTTCCTTTTAAAGTTGCTGGATTTGGAAATGCTGTCAGTGATATTATGAGTATGAGAGTAAGGGAATTTCGATAGACATACTCTGTGGATTCGGATGATAGAAGATTTTATTGTATATAGTCTTGTATTCGGAAATGATTTACCAAAATTAACTAGAGCTCAATAGGAATTACAATCGGTGCATGTAACACAATTTTTGGTGAGATGAATTCAAATTTTTTGTTTATGTTTATAGTTATTTCTTATTCGTTTTATGAATATTTAGGCGAAAGTCATTTGTATTTTTTTTTGGTAAATGTTAATTATCATTTCATTTTATTTATTAAATTTGTTTTTCTTTTTTCAATAGGATGTGCATTAGCTAAGGGATATTAATATCTTTTTTTCTTAATTAATAGTGATTTTGCATATAATAGGGATGTGTTCATTACTTCTTCGTGATACTTCTGCAACCAAAACTAAATCAACAGAAAGAGATGAGGATTAATCGTAGCATGATATGAAAAGTACGTAAATGGTCAGGAAATAAATACAGTATAACAATATGATATTTTGTCATCATGTTTCTCTTACATTAATATATATTATTTATATAAGTCAGAATCTTTCTAGTCAGTCTTGACTAATTAAAATCAATTTATTTTTATAGATGAATCGTATAAAAAAGAATATTCTTAGTATTTATATTATGAATAGAATCAATAAATTTTTTCATCAAAAAATCTATTAAATATATGAATATCATATTATGATTTTTATTTAAAGATAATGTCAAAAATAAATAAACCGAAAAAAATTTTCTGCAACTTGATTTAATTCTTGTTTAAAAATAATATAAGTTATTAAACTAATAAAAACAAAAATAAAATTTGAATTTAAACAATTGATATGATTTTTTGATGATTTAATAAATTTTTTATAACATTTTTGTAAAAATGTGTGAACTTGTAAAATCTGCTCATCATTCGATAACATATTTTGACATTTTATTTTCAATGGTGTTAAACATTGAATATATTGAAAAGCATGATGACATATTGTTCGATTAAGTATTAATAATGATTGATTCCAATATCCACAAGATTCGATAGCAACATTTTTTCGACAATGATATTCAACAGCTATTGTTGTTCGACGTTTTTTTTGTTTACGTCTACGAGGTTTTTTTGTTGTTGTATGTCGTGTGCGTGGAAGTCGTCGTGGTATTCGTATTCCATCATGAAGATCATGACAACCATGTGATGTTGCTTGGATTAAATAAACTTTAAATGTTAATTTTAAAGTTTCTAGAAAAGACAAAAAGATTTAATGACAATAAAAAAAAATCGTAGAATTTGCTTTGAATTATAATCAAATGTGGAAGAACTTAGAATTTGGCATTTGATTCGTTGATTTTCGATTTAATTTATGTATTAATGGAGAAATGCTAATGTTAATGATTAAGAAAATAATCTGGATAAAAATTATAATTCAAATGAGTTTTAAATGTTTTAGTTCAAGAACTTTGCATTTGAGAACTATTGAATGTAACCAAAAGCATGCATATCTAATAGTAACTTGATCAAGTCAAACATTGAACTAAATATTCAGAATAGTTCAATTTGTGCTTTTACTCTTTATAAAGTTTAGCTCAATGAATACCTTTGCCACACAATAAAAGAATGAAATCAAAACCTTAAGAACAGTTAGTCACATCGATTCACGTCAAAGGAAAAGCAAAACTCTTCCTCATGTATTTTTTCCTAAGACATCTAATCCAACAATTCGATCAAGATCCTATAAAATTCGGTTGAATACTATAGGAATATTGTCTGGAACCAGATGACAGAATTACATCTGGATTAGTAGTGTTGAAATCTGATCGAATCGTACTGTTCGAATCCGATCAATTACCACTGTCGAAACCTGATGAGATTCCACCGTAGGAAATCGATAGGATTCCTAGTATTGAAATCTAATATTAATGAAGTGAACACTAATTAAGTGTACTGAAACCAAAAAAACTTAACTCCTAATTGTGAGTTTACATTTCGAGCTCACGTTTGCGGACCTTCTCAAGCTAATTCAGTCTTGACTCATTTACGTCTAAATGACTGGGTAAGTGAACTAACATCTCTCTATATATATATATACATGTAGTCATCTACGCATATCTCATTCGCGAACGTCTAACAAATTTATCTATGTACATCTCGTCTGCCGATGCATATTAAATTCGAGTACCGGGCCTTATTGGATATATGTCGAAATCTAACTGTCGAATCCCTTGGTAATTTTGTGAGCCAAATTCCCATCGAGTTTTGTCGGATGATCGGATCTCACAGGATCCGATCTGATTTATTTGTCTGCATTTTGTATTTGAAATGTTTATTTTCAACAAACACTTATCGACATGCTTTATTTTTGTTAAAAATTTTTTTTATAATCATAGAGTACATAGAAACAGAATAATTCTTTTCCTACATACAAAGACATTTTACTCTCTTATATTTAAAATAAAGCGAAATATAGAAAGAATATTATTTACATATAGATCTATGTTAATCAAATAAATTTCTTGTTTTTTTTGCTTTCGTCAACATTGATAACTCATTAAATATTCTCTTTCCAATCAATTGAAAACGATGTTTGTTCTACATGATCAAAAATACAAAGTTTTTTTTTTACCTCATCAGATGCATCAGAGGATATTTCTTTTTTTTAGTCTTTCAACAATAAATATTCAATATTTACTTATTATATTCGATCAAAAAGATTGATCTTCAACCTACCTAAAGCTGGACCATATTCTTGAACTTCAGTACAATTTTCTAAACGTCTATTCACACAATCAACATGTTTTTTAGCTTCACGACAAAATTCGGCAACATTTATTTTGATTGTAACCGGTGGTAATGGACACTTTTAAATTAAACACAAGAGAAATTATTGATTAAAACAACAAAAAAAAAATATTTTATACTTTATTATAAAAAAATATATCGCATGAACCATAAACACAAACATTTGTAATCATTAATAAGAATAAAAAACAATTTATAATGATAATTTTATACATTTGTTCGTTGTCTCCATGCAGAAAAAAAAATAAACGAGACAATAAGTCAAATATTGTAACATGTCTTTCGTTTTCTTTATGTTAATCCTCATTTGTTTCGTGTCTCATATGAAAGTAAACATATGAAATCGTTCAATTAAAATATAAACTTCATTTCCAAAATAGAATTTGGTGGTTTTTTTCTCACATCAACTTCAATTTATATGCTTGTCGGGCATACTGAAAGAAATGACTCAATTATAGAAAAAAGAAAGAAAAAAAACGGTCACTATAAGGGGAAAAAAAAAGAAGTGAATAGACTAGAAGAAAAAAAACACATAAAGACACAACATTTCACCAAGCAGATTTATTTTGATGTGAAGAAATAATAAAAAAATAAGGGTAGCAATTATTTGATTATTCAATCTTCT